TAAACGAAGGCGATAAATCAGACTCCAAGTTAACGTCTCACCCGGCGGTGTAACTTCTGGTCCCACGCCCGTTCTACGTATTCAAGTAACTTTTTTTCATGCTACCAACTGAGTCACTGCTAGCTGAATACCTGCGACAGTCCAGAATGGTGAGAATACAGCTACAACGGCAAAATGCAGATTGGGCCTTTGATAGACAAGGGGGCATCTCCAATGGGCGCGAGGGCGGGTGCATGTGCATGGTTATCTGTTATATTATCCGGTGATTATGACGTAAGTTAAAAGCGGTATTTGTCTCTCGCGATGCTACTCGCCGACGAGGAAAGACACACAGAAATGCATTTTGGATGGTGTACTCACACTTACTACATGTTTCAAGTTCTAAATTCAACCGAGGCCCTCAGGCTGGGCGAATACATAATTTACTTCAAATCATATTGTTCTCCCCAGTGTTGCAGCCGGACTCTACTAGAAGGATCTGTTACATTTCATCTAGTGCACTGTTCTTCGTCCAGACCAGCAGAGCCTCACCATGCACGTTATCTATCTCTGGAAGTAGGGTAAGGTGATGCTTGGAAGTTTGTTGACTTTTCACGGCAGCTAAATGATACTTGAGCATATTATCTCGTAATCCCCAACCCCCCAAACGGCATCAGTCTTCCGATGCGTCATATATCATATATGCCATCCCAATCGACCAAGGCCACCAAATCCTGCCCACTGTACGAGAGGCATCCGATGACCACCCACCATCTGTTCAGTGAACCCCGCTTCAAGTTGCTTAGACGCCGACTGGAGGCAATCCTGCCATGGGGTCCGTATTACGGCCGATTATCCTTTCAGCGCCTGGGTATGGACACCATATCTAGCACGGCTTCCATGGCTGTTTGGCACCTTGTAACAGCTTCAAGTTTTGCTCGTCGGCAAGGCAACCAAAGCACCGCGTTAGGGTCAATCGAAGAGCGAAGGCCATATTGCGAAGGAAGAACACGTCAGGTAACAGAAGACGATGTACAGCAAATCTTCAAAACGTCGGGAGGTGCGAATATGAAAAGATATATACTATATCTCACGGATGACTGCTTCTGTACCCGGTCTAATATTTTGCGACTACTCCTAATCCCCCGTACAACCATTACATGCAGCTTCATATTCGCCTACTATTTTAAAGCTTCTCATAACAAGTTAATGTGTCTTTGCTACTACACTGGCATACTAGCTTGCTATAGTAGTCATAAATGAGCGTTCGGAAATTCGCTGTTTGCCTCTTTTTTGGGCAGCTTGTGTGTAGTTGAGCTGCCCCCCAATCCACAGTGGCCCAGGTTTTCCTGTTCTTGATACAGAATTGATACCACAAGCCTCTTCCACGCACCAGCAATGTCTTCCTTTTTTCAATAAAACAGACAATCCCGAGACCTTCAATCTCCCTGGTTTGTCTCCCACTAAGTTTGAGACCAAGTGAATGTACCACCACTGATGCTTACATCTAATTCAATACCGGTGCCTAGGAAACCTGCGACAGGTTTGTCCCCAATCCAGAAAGAGGCGGCAACACCGTCCTCAATACTGACGACGGAGAAGGTGTTGTCCGCTGACATCAATTCATCCCAAGAAGTATAACCCAACACGCCTGCCGTCACTTCGATGCCCGCCCCAAATCCAATTCCCCAGCCAGCACCTACGTGACCATCCGTTGTATTTATATTCACGAGAGTTGCAAGGAGGAGAGTTGTCGCATTCAAGTTTGCGGGCACAAGACTTGGAAAGTCATTTGGATTGTTAATTGGCCTATCATCCCCGTTGATAGCCTTTAGAACTCCGTCGGAGCCACCGAGCTTTTCCAAGAGCTGGCAGAATAGGACCCAATCCACTTTGGTGAAGTCCTTGACGTTTTTGACGTCCCTACAGAGTTTAGCAATACCATCATAAAAGTGAATAGGCATACACGACGAAGACACCTACGGTTTCACCTTGGGAGAGTTAGTATTGGGAAGTCAAAGTAATAAATATTTGACAAGAGACTACTTACGAGACCCGACATTCTGATCTCTTGTTGTGAATGCAGCTCTGTCGAAAACACAATATGATTGAATGTTATTCTAAAGATCACAATTGCAGCAAATTTGTGAAGCGATGTGACTGAAAACTTGGATTGCGAGAAGGTCAAACCGGTACTTTATATAGATCACCATACAGTTCGAGCATGAACACTTCTCAACATTCGCACGCCCCGGCTACAGAGTTCCTCTCTAGTAAGGCACATCAAACCGCGCTGCCAACCGCTTCACTTCTGCAATGGCCCCTCTAGACCATCCGGGTTACTGAGACACACGTCCGACGCTGTAGACGAGCCCAAAGACTGCACAGCTACAAGTTACACAACATGAGACATTTTCCTATTGGGCAGAAACAGCCTGTCATTTAGTTACTCTATCACAAACTTCAACTACAGGTCATTCTGCAAGTGTATGCCGTAGTGACTGACGGCCAGAGGCTTGCTACTGCTTGACTTACTTCCGTCTCCGAAGGCTTGCAGGTAGCAGGCTGCAAGCCGGGATGAAGCCTCCCTCATTTGATCGAACAAACGGCAGTTGACCACCGGCACCCTGGTTATCAAGAATAAAAGTGCCCTTGGCTTGCGCGCAGACTGAACCGTCGCCGTTATGTACAGTCTTGGTACCGCACTGAGCCAGTGGCTCGTACTGGACAAACCCTGCCTGGCCAAGACTAACCGTGAAGGTTTCGGAATCGCCATTTGTCACAGCAGTCCAGTGAGAGACGTCCAAGGAGGCGGTGAATACGTCCGCAGCGCCAACAAAATATGCTAAAGGAATTCGTAACTGTGACGGAATGAGATGGCTGAACGGAGCAGGAGTTGCCTCAACCAGGTGAGCTGATGAAGAGCAAAACCCGAGCATCTTAGGCGAGAAAGCCAACACAGTCGTCGCAAGTCACGGTAGAAGAACCGCTGCAGGCGTCTCGTCGTCGAGACGTGAAGCTACCCTCTGCGCCTCGCCTTGCCTTCTTGGCAGGAGTGGATAGAATGGACGCAACTAACTTAGCTGGCGGGATACCGGCCAAGTTATTGCAACCAGTTTGGTCGCACTCGGCAGTAACGACATCAAGCGCAGGAGTAACAGAGTCGTGGCATCCCGACTGGTGGGGGATGCCTCGTAAAGAACCACACTAGATGTGCTGGTCTTCCCGGCTCTGCGGGAGCTGGAAAAAAGCAACACCATTGAGACCACCGCTCGTGGTGACGGTAATATGGCCCCTGAGATCGTTGTTTGGGAAGAAGTCGTGAATTGTGCAGGTATTGACTCCCTCTGGGCTGATATCAACGGTTGGGCCCGTTGGATTGGAACAACTGCCGCTTTGCCAGACAACTGTAATGCCTACTTGGGCAGTGCAGGCCAAAGCTCATGTGAGAATCGTCTTGCAAGGGGCCATTATACAAGAAGAACAGTTCTGAATGAGGAAAATTGTTCCAAGAGGCTTCCTTTGGGTATCCAACTCACTACCCATCGATGATATATATTGCTTTTATATTCCCAGCAAAGATAAGACTTGCCGCGATTCCGGGCGCCAAAGTACTTTCTTGACATTGTCTTTCCTACCAACGCCACCTGTAACGATGTACCGAGTAAGCCGAGAAGAAGCGCCCTGTACTACGTCGCTCCGCCAAAGAAGTTATTCGCCATTACGAGTCGAAGCTCTTGGACCATCACTTTTCCAAAACAAAGGGTGGTGGAATTGCAACTCTCCTGTAAGTTGCGGGCTGGCCCACGCTTCCCGCGACGATCAGTACCGCGATTCAGCATGCTTTTTGTTCATTATCGCTCCATGTGGATATAGCAAAACGTAATCTGGAGATGCCGTCGTGCTGCCCGTCGCAGCCGAACCTTTTGGGGCTTTCATTGTCCACTAGGCAGCTGCCTGCGTAAGCTACAGACATCTTCCACATCGCATCTTGCGTGATCTGAGACGGAAGCGCGAAGAGGAACCACCATCTATTGACAGAAACTCTCCCGACTGCAATTACGGAGTACTAGAGGCACCTATTGTCATGGCTTTATGGGAGCTAACCACGACCCTAATCGCAGTTGTCCATAGCCTCACGCAGTCGGTAGTTGACACCGGCACTCCGGATGAGCTAATATTTGGTGTGGCCAACTAAGAAGCCCCAGTGTCCCTCGGTCCGAATGCCACCAATTTGAAGAAGCCACAATGCCATATTATTAGGCCTGATTCATACTGTGGAACGGCGCCGGAGATGGAAAATACTTGTCCTTGTTTTCTTCCGAACTTTTCACCTGGTACGAGGAACTAGCACACCATAGATTTTACAGCGTAACATCCGATGATCCTTGGCGCCACCAAGCCCCCTATAAGGAGCCCATTATGGCCTGGATCAGGTCCCTTATAATGGGCTTACCGGTCGCTCCAAAGAGAGCATTATGAACTTCTAGCAGTGGATGGTTAAGCAAACTATATCTTGCGTGGAACCGTCTTGTCTGCCTGAGTTTCTCGATCTTGATCAACGAATATACTTTAGAAAATTCACAGTACAGGCTTACAGCGGTACACTACTAGATATAGCAGCTTTGATTATTCATAAAATAATGAGGAAAGACGAGCTTTGTTTCAGGAAGTTTACAGTAATACAGATTGCATCTGGGAAGCGCTGTTCTCCTTGCCGAATATGGAGGATAAAACAGCAAATTTTAAGAACTGAGACGAGACGTATTATAGCCGGGGAAAATGAAACGCGACGCATATTTGAGGTCACTCTCATACGCCTTTGGTCACGTTATTATTTGTTTAAAATTAATAGTACCGTCATCTAGTCTCACTTCAAACCTATCTGAATCGCCCTCGTCATAAATCTTCTCAACGCTGGTATTAAACTACTAAATGACAAATTTGCCATTTTCAAGTATCATCAAACCTATCCAAGATCAACAGATGCCTCAAGAATATGAAAGGGAGTATACAGTATTAGTAAGATGTCTAACCCTAATGAACGGAATGTGTGAGCTCGTGTCATTTGGTAGAGGTCAGCGAAGCGGCAGTCACAAAAGGGCAACCTAGATCAAAAGGAACAGAATAAGCGCATTAATTCAAGAGCCATTTCAGTATTTTCCCTGTCCATCAGCTGAATTTAATGTGGCCCTGGCAAGTTCGGTCACGCTCTCCGACTCCCATCCTACGTGAGCCCTTGCTGGAGACTTGAACTGGGTTGCGTAACGCTGATGATTGCGGCCAGTTGCATCGTTCGCTCCCATACTCCCGGAAACCGGGCCGAGCTTCCAGTCGTGAAACAAATTCTTGCACGCACCCCACGATATGACAACATATATGACGGCATTCCAGAATCCCTGGAGTGGTATGACGAAGGCACTCATAAACAGGAGCGGAACAGAGACATCTCCCGGATGAACAGCAGAGTAGACTCGGTTAGCGCTGGCTGGAATCCATGTCATCAAGAGAGCTGTAAAGAACAGGATAGCGCACTTGGTATAGGACCACGCCGCATTATTGAGCTCATGGATATGTCGTCGAGCGGGTTTAGAAAGCCTGTGAGACGCAATCTGTACGGTGCTAGCGTGGTGAATGGTTGTGCCCGGCATGGGAAGTATAGGTTTGTCGTCAGAGGTCATGGAGTTGTCGGCAGATATATGGACTGAGTATGCGGCACTGGCATTTTGGGGATTGTCTGCGGAAGAAGAATCGTGTCGTCGCATAGGGCCAAGAGCGATTCCAGGCTCACCAACAGCCTCGCTGGTTATCATGACTTCCGTTCTTTTGACCGTGCCTAGAGCCTCGCCGTCTACAGACAAGGGGTCGGGATCCGACAAGTGAAAATCGTGCAGCTGCTTGCGTTTCTCGTAGATCGTGCGACCGGCTCGTATGTAAATAGCGAAAGTGATGAGAATAGCAATCCTTTGCAAGTACATGGTCAGCGTCGGCAAAATACACACCCAATGAACCAGGGCAACTCACCACGCTGGGGCATATAGTGTGGCAACACGGAGAGTATCGTATTCGGTCGACACCCAGCACCATAGCGTCGCGTTTCCGTAGATGCGCTGTCCAAGCTTGTTCCGTGCGAAAATATAGGAAAAGGCAGGAACAAAAGGAACCCCATAGCAGCCAATCAAGTACCACAATTCCATCTTGCGCAGGCGCTGCGCGTCAAACTTATAGTAAAAGGTGAGATAAACGTTGATGGCCATGGCCAATATCCAGAAGGAATCCGCGGGTGTGAAGCTCGGGGGGTTGTCAGCATGAAGCAGCCATCGTATGTAGCTGAGATTACGCACAGTTGGATCAAAAAAGCCTGAAATTGACACCCAAATGAGCTTAGATTGTTCAGGAAAGAGATGGACATGAGCGTGCCGACGTTGGCCATCATGTTGCCGAAAGAAGCGTAGAAAACGAGTCGGTTGATTGGTTTGTGGAAGGCGCTTGACACGCAGAAGGTGGCGATGATGAAGACACAACCCAGGAGCGAGGGCACTGAACACGCACGCTCGATAATGCTAATAGCGTTGAGTTGGTCCTCACTGAGTTTCACCATGGCTGTTGAGTTGCTTGACACGATGGCAGCGTCGACGGCTCAAACCGTAGAGATTTTTTTGCAACAGGTCAAACTGAGAGATGAAGAAGGGCTACCGACAAGACGTTGAGATTGCCATGGTGCAGCATTCAACTGGCTAGGAGATGTATACATGGCATGGCAGTCACAGTATTGCCGGCGGATGAATTTGGGAGCGGCGCCCTGATACTCCATGGTGAAGAGGGGTAAATATCTTTTATTCCATGTCTATAAACAGCCACATTGCAGCAACGGCTAAAAGAAAAAGGGGGTCCCAAAAAGTCATGTCGAATACAAGCCTGGGTTGGCAATGGCGGTCTGTGGGAGATGGCTTTGGTGATCACGGCCCAAGCATCAACCGGGATGGCGGATGAGTAGATCCGGGTTGCCCTAGCCTAATGTAGATTATTTGAAATAGGAGTAGCAGAGCCCAAATGGACTTGGACAGTAGGTTTTGACCAAACAAAACGCGCCAGTTTATTTTATCGGCCGGGGTGTTCTACATTTTGGTAGCGGACAATCAGTCCCCGTCACTAGGATTGGCTTGTCTCTTGCAAAGCTATAACAGCCCCAAACCGCCACATTTTCCATCTGAGTCTCGATGCATACAGCCACTGCAAGGCTACAGACGTCCGAGCCAGAGGCAGCTTTGTCTCCTGCGATGAAACCACATTAACGCAAGACGGTGGGAATATGAACCTTGATAGACTCGTCCATGTCTAATACCATGACGTTTCCGTCAAATAATTCCAAGCAATAAATCTCAGTATGAACAGAAGTCTGAAGCCATGAAAAAAGCCAGGAATTCCATCAAGGAGTGGCTCGGAGGTCCTTGCCGACATCCCCTGTCTAATCCCCTGGCTCAGAATAGTCAACGGTGGGGTCTCATGATGCCGTTGGTTAAAGTTCTACTAGCAGGAGGAAGACGCGGGGGATGAATTTAACCGTTGACGGCTAATATTTGTTGTGCCTCGGAAGTAACGCGTGAGGAGATTTGGCTTTTTTAATTGGTCCCCTTGGTTTCGCCTTGGCTTCTCATTGTCTCATGCCTCCTCAAGCCTTTAATGCTTGCACGACGTAACTGTTCTCGAAAGCGCAAGGACTGGTGTATTGTGATGTCGCCTGAGCTACTTAACTCCATTTAAAGATCGTTGATGAAAGCCAAGTAATAACAAAACATAGATTGTAACACGTGTTTAAATCATTGAAACCGGGTGAATCCAGAGCATCTCTGTGCGCTAATGGCATGCGCGGCATGTGTCATATGATTCTTCGAGCTACACAGCCATCGATCAACGTGAAGGCTATACATTTCCAATGAATTCTCTGAGTGCGTATCTCTTCATTAATTGCCGTACATTTGACCTAGATTGAGAATATGTTGTTAGTAATATACGACATGATATAATACGTACATATCTTTACTTTTTTACTTGTTCACAATAGCAATTCTGCATATAACATTATGGCTATGCTCTAGAAGATTGTAAGAAAAATATCTGAATACAGATGAGAAACTCGGAATCTGTCGCAGCATTTAATGGGACCAAGTATATGCATTTTAGATTTGCCGCTACTGAAACCCTGGCATCACATATCGGACCAGTTACGCAAATGTCATGTGCATGATGATGTCAAGGATTGCTCCGAGAAAAAACTATCTAGAGTTGGATTCGCACAGTTTTGAGAGTGGAAGAAGGCTCTGTTTTTAAAGGTCGCGCCAGCTCATTCGAGAAACTTAAAAGTGACGTCTGCTTACGGCGCGGCAAACATAACCTTACTTTACTACACGCTATGCGTCATCAACGGGCAGCAAGAAAACCTTCAAGCCATTAAACGAAGTTGCACACCTGGAATGAAAAGGAGTTTTTCTATCTGCAGAGAGCCGGATCCAGAAGCAGTTACACAAAGAAACACTTCCCTCCGACTGTTTAACAGAGTCGCGCGCTGAAATAGCCAACCGTCACGCAAAAGAGGTAGCTTATCTACGCGAAAATACTAAGAATATGAGGTCTGGCTCTAGTTTAAACTCGAATACACCATTTCAGTTGAAAACCCTGAGATGGTGTGAAGGTCATTGCGGGCTCAGGCTCCAAAAAGCGATGTATTCGATCACGTGGTGAAAAATCGAAGCCAGACGTCTTGATCAGTGAGGTACTCCGTGGTCATTTGAAGCTGGAAGGAAGGTTCGCAATACATCTGCCTCTAAACATGGTCTGTGATATTTCTGATCCAAATCCACAGAGGTGTACTATAACTAGGACTCTACAGTACGGGGGTTTCGACCAGGTACGAAATCTATTACCTTAACACAATAGCTAAGACATGAGCATGCCTATCCAGTGTCATCGGGAAAAGGGTCGGAAAACGCCGTATTCGTAAAGCTAGCTGCTACACAAGCTGCTTCAACGGAGGTTTGAGGCCTTTGGAGGCATCTAAAGATACAGGCTATTCAAGGTCATTATTAACCATACAAGAGGCCTCAGACTCCTCGATAGATAGCTTCAATCAAGGACCAGTCCACTGTTCAATTCGATCCCTAGCTTGCAATCGTGGTATCTAGACTTTCCATTGTTGTGGCTCTCAATCACTCAAACACCAGACGAAAAAAGGTAAGACAGTGTTATTCTGAAAGTGCAAATCCTGGGCCATGTTTTTTTGCAAAAGGTATAACAAGATGGAAAGGGGCCAGTGGGGGAGTGTAGACTACCATCCAGGCTGGCGAGAATATTTGCAGGGAAGGGAATAGATCCCGACTATTACCTGGAACCACGAGGCTTGAAATAAATGAAGACTCTATACAGCTATCCGTTGGAACTTGCTCCTTACGCATCACATTCCTGAAGCGGTATGAAGGTGGAGAGTTATTTCAGGTACATTTTTGCAATGGAATGCGGCATGCACCGATATAAGAGTGTATGAGTGTGGCATAAGTCGGTAAACTTGGCTGTCATTGTGCCACTGTTACTTTGCTATGGAACGGGAACTCCGAACCTATTGTTCCGAGTTTCAGGTGGTCGGAAACCCCCCTTCTTGGAATACAAATACCTCGGGAGTTCCTTTGTTACTGAATGCGCCCAAGTCTTAAGCACAGGGCATACAAATACAAGTCGGAATCAGCCAGCTGTTCCCATCATTATTGATTAGATACACATATATCTTGGATCCATATAGGCAAGGTAGTAAGTATTCCTCATTCTCCTCGGCATTAGACCGAGGCCATAAGACCCCGTACCCGACCCTCTCCATTCTTGTGTTCTAATAATCCGAATATCGACATGCTGCTCCACACGACTCCGTATGCGCATCAGTTTGATCAATCACAGAGTGGTTCGCTCTGAGCTTAATTGACAGAACAGTGCCCCTTTATTGGGGCTAGTCTTTGCTAGAGCTATTGGGTGTCCTTTTTTTGTTCGAAGGATTTGGCAACTGGGTCCAGGCTCTGGTTGCACTGACAAGCATCACACCATTCGGATTCCTGAACCGTGCGCAGTGCGAGTCATTTTATCATCCCTGCCGGCGGATACAGTAATGACGAAGCTGGCTCTGGACGTTTGCGTAGTTACGAGCTTGGCTCAGGTTCACCATCACGACATGATCCGCTCGACAAACACTTCATGCTGCTATGAGCATTAATGTGAAAGCCAGTCTTTGGTAATGTGATTATGATCACTGCGGAGGCAATATGAAAGGCTAGATATACTCAAGAGCATAAAGCGATAAATTTAAGCGACGCTATTTAATACAGACAAGCTCATTCATATGTAATAGGTTTATTAAATGAAAGGCCTCAATGACAGCTTAGGTACAACGGTCATGGCCAGTAAACATTACCTATTTCCACTCCAATCCTCTTTATAAAGAGAAACTCCTTACATTAATGGACACTGCTTCCGTTTGGGCATACTCGCCCACCAGGGCAGTTCTGAATTAAATGAGAATAGCCATAGCAGCCAGGAAGAGCATTGCCATGGATGCCGGCATGTTGCCGGATGCTGAGCTGACAATGGGGACCTGGTTGGTTCCTGAAGGCAGACCAGCAGACCCAACGCGAGTTGGCTTAGAGGGGTTGCTTCCAGAAGGAGCAGCAACACCATTAGAGCCGGCATTGTTGGGGCCGTTGGAGCCAGGATTCTTGGCGTTGCCAGCATCAGAGCCAGTACCGGTGTTGCCGGAACCGGGGTTCTTGGAGCTGCCGGGGTTGGAGCCGTTGGCACCGTTGGAACTGTTGGCACCCTCACTGCCAGAACCGGGAGTCTTGGAGCTTCCCGGGTTGGCACCAGCATTGCCAGGGCCAGCAGGGGAGCCGTTGATGCCATTAGGGCCATTGTTCTTGGGGCTTTCAGTGCCAGATCCAGGAGTCTTGGAGCTGCCAGGGTTGGCACCGTTGGCACCGTTGGCACCCTCATTGCCGGAGCCATGAGTCTTGGAGCTTCCCTGGTTGGCACCGTTGGCACCGTTGGCACCCTCATTGCCAGAGCCATGAGTCTTGGGGCTTCCCGGGTTGGCACCGTTGGCACCAGCATTGCCAGGGCCAGCAGGAGAGCCGTTGGCACCATTGTTGCCAGAACCAGGATTCTTGGAGCTGCCAGGGTTGGAACCATTGGAATCATCCGTCTTGGGGCCAGATGTGTAACTGCACCCGCAAACTTGCTGGATCATAATGTCCGGAATGGGGATTTGCTGCTTCTGCTCTACAGAGGCAGGCTCCTTGGGAAGAACGGCGGGGACAGCAGGCAGCTCCTTGGCCTTCTCGACGGGGACCTGCTTCTTGGTGCCCTCGACTTCCATGGGGAGGGCACAGGCCATCTTGAAGTCGTCTCCAGCTTTGACATAGGTGCACTTCTGGCAAACCCTGACGATGATGACATAGCCGATGATGACAGTCTCCGAGGCCGGGGCAGTCTCGTTCTTCTGAGTCCAGCCAGACTGGCTTGGCTGGGGAGGACGGACAGTGCTGGGCTGAACTGCGCCAGAGGCCTCCTTCTTGGCAGAGGCATAGATCCAGTCGACATTGAGGACAGGAGTAGGGTTCGCGTTGCCAGATACGGCGGTGCTGGGGCTCACGGTAGTAACAGCGGCAGAACCTGCGGAAGCGGCAGCGGGAGTCTCTTCCTCACACGAATCATCATCCTCATCAATGGGCGTTGGTGTTGCTGTAGCACTAGTCGACACGGAAGTTGGGGCGGCGGTGGCTGAGGGACGTCGTTCCTCGGTAATTCCCCTCCAGTACAGTTCAACCTTTGTCTTCTCATCGGCGGGCAGAGATGCGGCGTGGTTGATGAGCTCATCGTCGGCTCCACCGGTAGGATATGGACCAGCGGCCTGGGACGCGGAAGCCCACGCAGCATCGTATGCTGCTGTTGGGGTTCCCGCATAGCAGTAGGTGGAATTCACACGGTCCAAGATTCCGTTATAGTAGCCTTGGCCCCTCTCGCTAAGGAAGGCGTGTGTCTTCTTGCAAGCAGTGCAACCCTTCTCGAACTGGATAATGTACTTGTCAAAGCACAGGCAGTCGCGGTGCTCCTTGAGCTGCTCAGGGCTTGCGCTGGGACCAGGGAGGTATTTGTTGCATTCATCCTTGGCACGTGCGATTCCGGGGCACGGGTAAGGGATGGTGTTCTTGAGTTGCCCGCTGGGGAAGCAAACCGAGTTGAGTTCGGCGACGGGACCCTGTGCTGAGGCTAGAGCTAGCATGCCCGAGAGGGCGAGAGCCGTAGGAAGGTGGAGCATGATGGTCGAAGAAACGTAAAAGAATTTGAGCCAGGAACGGATTAGCGAGTGAATACAGTTGGTGTCCAGAGTCAGCGAGTGTGACGTTCCATGAACAGCTGGTCTGGTGGTGCGAGAAGGCACCGACTGTCGGAGTCACTACCGATATATATATTTCTGCATCACCAAACAAACGCCCAACTGCATTCCTGATTGCACTGGTGACATCCCCACAGTCATTTGCACTATTGGGACCTGCATGAATCGAAATCTTGGTCAAGAGTCAGTGGGACGTGGCTCCCTGTCAACCGCCAAGCCGTGGCCTGATGCTATTGACATTTAGGTCCCATTTTCCTCTTTCCAAGAATCGACCAGACTCTATTGCATTATAGGACACAGCACAGGCCGCGCCTTCCAGGGTTTGAGTTGGTGGAGTGAGGCAACGCGCGAGTCTTCCTTTATTGTTTTGTGACGGCTCCCGCCCGGCTGTGAGATGGTGTTGTTCTTGATCCCCCTTTCAGATAGGCGCTTGGCTGTATTCTGCTATTTTTGTTGCATGTACATAACTCTCCTTTGGAAGTAACATACATGGGAGTGGATCTGTTCATGTACATGTGTTGAAATGGATCGTCATGCGTCAGCAATCTAATTTCAAGGTGACCGTGGAAGATGGGAGAGAAATTGCCAGCCCACACTTAGCTCGGCCTGGACAATACAGATCCTATTATGGCGATTTATTATGGCGATGGGAAATAACTGCAGACGGGTGACTGTACATGGATGTACCGATATTTTTGGGAGGCTCATCAGCCCTTGTTGGAGCACGGCATCTTCTGGCTCTAGTACGACGATGGAGAATCTCTTCAGAACCACCTGGTAACTTGCATGTTGCCAAAACTGCCTACGCCCTCGTGCTGTATCGGCTATGCTGAGGATGGTTGTGGGGTGTAGTACTTACTACTCGCCGTGTTCCGAGGCGATGCGAGCCAACGTCAAAAAACGCGTTCAACTTTATTTTGCGCATAATCATGCCCCCCCTGTCCAGCTCGGCACCATGGGATTACTATCATTTAGCTCTTGTAAGCATGGCGCAAGGATGGCCAGCAAGGCGCATGGTTTCATGGACTGGGCTCCTCCCAAGACGCCCACCGGCGAAGATTCTGCTCACTCTGCGATTCAAACCCACTCTCGCTCATCCCATCTGTCCAAATGTGGCCAGAAGGCGGTGGAATTTCCGGTAGATGCCATTATCTCCAGCTAGGGTAACCCTGTCCGGCATCCTAATACGGAAGCCCACATGGGGCGGATGAACGGAGGCTTCCGACACATTATGCTTTTGCAGCAGGGTGGGAGAAAACGGGCTTGGGAGTGAGTCTGCGGTAGGTAGCACGTGGCCCCAGGATGACGTCTCTCAGTTAGGCTCTTCAAGTTATCACGGATCAGTCAACCTAGGGCATCCCGCGCATGGCAACGCAAGCGGAGCTAGTTGGACGATTCGTGACGCAACCCTCGCGATACTTTGGCGGTAGCGGTCCGACATCGCTGCAAATTACACGCAGACTTAACCACCAACATGACGAACAGGTAGACTTGCCACAAAGCTAGGAGGAGGAACAACAGTGTCTCCAGAGATTGTGGAAATTATCCCTGAACCGTAGCCGGAAGAGCCGCAGCTTCTTTGAGAGACCGAGAACCGCCTACGGTATCAGCGGAATAACGAACGCCCCGTGAGTATATAGATGCATGTATGTATTAAAAAGAGCGGAAATCGATTTTAATGCCGTGTAGGCTATGCTTGTTTTCGACCGGGCTCGGGTTGTTCAACAATTATCGAATACCAATCAAGTTGTGTTTTTTAAAAGCGGGCGCGACCATGCAAGGCGTTATGAAAATGATGTGGTTTCTGTCATCCCCCCCAACAAGTCCCCATTTTCGTATGGAATTATCGAGTCATGTAATTTTGTTTAATTAGTATTCATCATGCGTTACGCGTTTGAATTGTGCGCAACCTCCCCTCCCCCCCTGCACGCCTGTTTTGGGAAACAATCCCACTCTTTTCTCTCATTACTTGGTAGTTATTAGTAGATGCTAAATATCCTACCCTGTAGCTGTCTTGAATCGTGAAAGGCAGAGGCACCACTAGCCGGAACTTGAATGCAATATTCGTAGTCGACCCAACAACCAATCTAGCAGCAAAATGAAGCAATGATAATTGAAAAGTTATATACGAGTATGCTTACACAGAAAAACGGCTGCGAGGTTGACGTGAGTTCATGTGTCATTGCTAGCAGTACACAACATCGGGGACTGCTCGTTTAGTGGTACCTGGCTCAAATCGAATTGAAGCTGCGTTGACGCGAGAATCATATGTTGGCCTAGAGCTACTCGCGAACACGGGGCGACTAGTTGACTGACAGTTAGTAAAACGCGGGGGAGGCTATCCGATCCAAGACAAGATAATCACCGTCAATTTATATCCTCCAACAGATCGTCGCACAATATTTTCTACTCGGGCTTTTGTCAGCTTTTTACCGATTATCAAACGCTGTGGAATATTTAATATCCGTCTCAAGGGCGAGTAGTGATACCGCCCAAAGTGCCCGACAACAGCGTACTGGTGAACGACAGCCTTGATATGTGGTTTGCCGCTTTTGGAGGCACCTAGTTCAAATGCGTCGCTTCCTTGTGATTTCGACAGCACATCCGCTGACCAACTAGCGTTAATTGTCAGTTTTCGGCAGCCAGCAAAGCGTGCCAAGTCAAGATGACAATCTCCACGGAAGACGAGCGAATTGGATGTTTGCTCCTGGCAGTTTTTAATATGATTTCTTCAATACTAAGTAGTAAGGCGGCCAGAGTCAGCTGCTGCGCCTTTTTTTGCAACGGAAACTCGCAACAATGTGTCCTTACAACTGTACGCGGCATATCTGTTGTTAGTCATTAGGAAGCTTCTGTTCAGAGGAGATTGATGATCAATTCAATCTCAGGGACTCCAAATCTCAGCTGCGTTGGCCGGGTGAGGCCGGGTCACGTGCTCCGCTCCTTACAACAGCTTTTCACGTGCCAAAGCATGAGACAAGGAGCGATGAGCAGGAAACCAACAAATTTGCCACAACAAGAACAGATGGACTCCTCATCGACCAATACGAATATTAGTGCAGACTACAACAAGTCTTGTGCCAGGAAACAACGGGAGGGAAAGAGTCTGGTGGAGTTCATGCGAAACCTCATCTGTCAGCACCACTGGAACCGTGACTTTGACTGGGACCAGGACCGTTGGCATTCGCACGGCGATTATTTCGGCTATGAAAACCGGAATTGCTACTTCCTTATCGACCATGGCGACGAGTCCACGGTGCACCCGCCAGTTGTTTGGTATAAATGGACTGGAGATTCCTTGTTAGGAAAACCTGTAATAAGGTAAAGTCGCTCCTTTACTAATGTTTGCGTAGAACTGCTATAGATCAAACCCTGCCCCCGAAAATTGAAGAAAAACTAACAAGCAACCCCTTTTTAAGGCGACCAAATAATTCTTCATCAGCAGAACGTCCTGCCTACTGCCATATCATCCAGTCAAGACTTCGCCGCGATATGTCTATCTTGGATCAAGACATAGACTTTTAGTGACCCATCCGGAGGATGCGAAGTGGCTCAAAGACAATATCGAGACTCGTTTTTGGCTGAAAATTCAGGCCCTTTGTCGTTTTGACCCAGATGAAGGAGTTTTACAGTAAAGTAATGCTTATTTGGCAGAGCGTATGTAGCATGTGCCAGAAGCTCAGTTCTTTTAAGCAGCCGAGAGTGTCGTACAATTCAATTTCTAGGCAGAAGAGCTTCGGGCGACTTGGCCAAGTGCGTTGCAAGCGTGGCGATAAGCGTGCAACAGGGGGCTTCTTATCTAGCACACCATGGCGAGAAGGCTAGGGTCTGATGACAGGACGCACCGGGACCCAGCTGGATGGACTATTTGACAATCTGAATAGATCCACAAGACCTTCAAAGTACAACTTCTTCGTGTCATACGCAACACCCACAAACCACTTCACTTGCTTGCAGGTTACGCAGTAGCACAGCTACTAGAGTTACGAAAGCACAACAATGGTGAAGAGACGTTTCTATTTAATCATTCACGAGGTTCTCACCGTCTAAAGTCAACATACGTCATTCCGTCAGGGGGGCGAAATCTGTCGTCTGCCCTCCCTTTTACACATGAAATCAATGCTCCTGGTGATACAGTGAGTAAGACATACGCAAAGATAGTTAGTTTAAACCGCAAGTCGAAGACGCAATGAGCCATGTGCATATCCGCTGGTGCTCAGGGGGTGAGTTGACTGCTGCGACGAGTCTTTACAACAGCAGCATCCGTTTAACAAGGCAATAAGAGTATCCAGCCGGTAGTAGCAAACTGAAAGAATACATGAAGACATAGTGAAGCTAAAATACACAAGGTGACAAGCCCATTCAACCATTCTGTGATGACTCTGCTAGCTAACGAAATCCCATAAGCATCCTTTCCTGGAACGGCATCATTTCTTCCGGCACACAGCAGCTCATGAGAGTAAAACATCAATAAGGACAAAATCAATCACAAGGTTTCATCACCTTAGGCCGCACTTGTTGCATCAGTCTTCCTGTTCCATTGCATATACCGCAAGTATCACACGTTGGAGGAGCTCCATAAGGGCCCCAATAGGCTCGACGTCGTTCACAAGCCGCAGTCTGTTATTGTTCACAAAGTTTGCGGCCCTTACAGTAGGTACAGAAAACTTTCACAGTTTCTATGACTGTAGTCTTGTACTCCCTCAGTCCTCTGCAAATTTCGCAATGTGGATTCGGTTTAGTAATTAAAGTATAAAAGACATGGGGGAAACGGCTCGTAGAATAGTTTCAACGGCAACCAGACACTATCGGGGACAGAGTGCTGCCGTTACTGGACTGCTTACTACGGAAGGGTGAATAAACTGCTGGAAAAAAAAAGTCAAAACAATATATCCTGGGTAGCACTTTGAAGAACAAACAACGATGGGAAGGTCAAAGAAGCTTAAAGGGATAGTTACCAAGTTAGAGTACTCAGGCCCATTCTGTCCCTTTATATCCCTTGTTGGCCCAGTGAAGACCCCAAGCATCGGTCCCAGGCATCGCCAAAATTCGATTGTAGCTACGCGCCGCCAAATCTTGAAACACCTGTTGGCCGTCACTTGGGCCATGGGTTCGAGTTCTGGAGCACTCACCGCCGGTCTAAGATGGTGGCCTGTTTTTGGATCATGTCTGGTGCAATCGCTGCGCAAGTAGAGATGTGAATAATCACATGGCTAACCTGGGCCGCAGTAGACCGCAGTAGGCGGGAGTTGCTGGTGGCCAGGGGCGTACCAGGCAGCTTCTACTAGCCAAGTGTGACAAGGGCGGTGATGCTGGGCTTGGAACATAAATTCAACTTCAATTTAACTGTAATAATCAACTCTGAGGTATCAAAGTTCCCTGGCTTTCTAATGGCCTTGAGGGGCTACAAGAAGTCGGTGAGCCCTAAAGACCTGAGGCAGCTCTCGCCTGGGGTCCGACCTTGGGTCTCGTGATGCCTTCTTTGTTGTTGTGTAACCGTTGTTAGCCCAAGGCCTGTGTTTTTGGCCCAACCGTGTGACACCAAGAGCCGCTGGTCAACTAACAAGATTGAATCAAAGGACAACAGCTGGTAGCCTCCCAGCCACTTGGCGGTTACTCCTAGCCCGTTAGAGGCCACTCAACCTAGTAATAAAGTCGGCCCCATGAAATGGTTGCTAACACTCTGTCTGTCGGCAGCTACTACTCAACGGCTGGTCACTTGCCGGAGCCCACCAGGCTTGACCCCCCAATAAGCTTGGTGCCCCGACTGCCTTGCCAGCAGTCTTTGATCGCCCTTGGAGTTGGAATTCTAGACAACGCGTGCAGAAGCAGCCACCTCAAGAGCAGGCAATCTGGGATCCAACTTTGCCGAGATTATGCACCCAGACGTTCTACTACACATACCGTACCCAATTTTGCGTTGAAAGCGTTGGTGGTCATCCACCTGCAGCAAGTGGGAGCTGCAGGTAGCGACAAGCGTCCAGAATTGAAATTTCCAAGGGCCGTCTGCCGAATGCAGCAGTACTGGAGAGCAGCCCTCCATAAAGACAGCAATGCAATCACTGAGATATTGGAGAAGATGCGAATAAAAGAGCATATATTCGCCTCGCCCATTTGCTGTGACAAGGGCTCAAGGAGGGCTTGGAGCAATAGCTCTATTCATCTAATAACAGTCTTTGGTATCAAAGATTCTTGGTTTTACAAGTCCTTGAGGGACCAAAGGTCTCTATAAATACAAGAAGTCGGTGAGGGCCTTCTGTCCTAGGTCCCGTGATCGTAGCCCTCGTATTACCGTGTGACATTTGCCGAGTAGTCCGATTCGCAGTTGAAGCTGCTTCAGACCCCTCAGCACTTCTGGGTGTGTCCATAGGCTTGCCGAGAAGGCATGAGTGGCGGGCCATTGAGGAGCCGTAGCATCATGGTGGTGGAAGGCCTTGGGAGAATTAGAAGACACTACATGTCGCTAAGCAGGAAAATGGCACCTCTTCGACTAGATTAATGGTAGAGCTTGAATTCCTGCTTGGCGACAAACCGCTCGAGACGTCGCTGGGGAGTGTCTAGTCGATGCTCTTGCTCATCCGTCTCGTCGAAAGTACGGCGACTGTGTCTCTGCCGGACGAACAGACTCTCTGTGCGGCATGTGCGATTTCAATCTCGTCCCGGCAGGCCTTATCGGAGGCTCGCTTTTGTCCCGTCTCAACCCTCCGCCGGAATGGTGTGTATGTCGCACTGATCACTTCGGGTGAGTGCTTGTAGCCGTCAAAACGGGAGCTTTGCACAAGGTTGAATTGCGTGCCTTCTTGCCTTTAACTTTTGCCTTCGGCATCGTTGGGCAGGCACACGTGACTTTGCCCGGCGACTGTTTCATGATGTGTCCATGCAGAACACGAGATGACATGGCGAGAATTTGGCGACGGAGGCGATGGCAATCTACCGAAGGTGTCTCAGGTCGGTTAACTGCGGAAGTGAGGGCTTCCCTACTGACATGCATTGAAAGACATATGCAATGCTAGACTTCAAAAACGGCCACCGGAACCAATAAAGTCCGCCCGGTAGATGCAATGCCACCTCGCGGAACTCTATTCAAGACGGGTTTCGACACTGTTGAGCATGGCAACATCTCTTCCCCTGTAGCTGTGTGTTGTGTGCTTTGATACGGAGTATTAGCCGTGTCAATCAAGCCTATTGCGTTTCTGGAAGCAACCAACCCGCAGAGTTGGGGAGTACTAGCTTTCACCGAGCGTAGGTGGACATGTGTGAGCGCATAGCGTAACTGTCCATTGGATATTTTTGCTCTTGTGAAGCTTAGAAAACACCGCTATGCCGGCGTCTTTTCCAATAGATGCAGGCTAATTCGATTATTCGTTCGCCTGTCTAGGGGACACTTGACTCACCCAGCCCCAACACCAACAGGACAGGCCATGATTCCCCTCTCCCTTCGACTCACTGAGTCTTGGCAACCTTGTAACAATAAGCTCCTTTGTAATTGGCTTGCCATTGTTGGACGAGCAGACACGAGCCTTGAAATGACATGAAACTGGGCAGAATTTATACGATACCGTTGTCCATGTTCCGAGGCCAACCAGGCATCCAAATAAAAAGCTGGCTACATATCCAAATTGCGTCATTGTCAAAGATTTTTTTACTTCTACAACTAAATGAGTGAATAAAAGACCAATTCCACTGTACAATTCGATCCACATCTGCCCCGGGGTGGCGTAACGCACATTGCCGTCCAGACTCCAGGGCAGACAAACCGGACATATTACGGAATCTACGTCTGGCAGGTCAGCCACGATAATTCTATAGGTGCGCCTGCTGCCTCCCTGGATAAAAGACTATTCGACTTGTGCGCCTAGAAAATGGAAGGCTGGGTCTGCTGCAGTAGCGCGTGTTGGACTGCATATTTGCATGGCTTGGCCTGCTTGTCGATCCCGTCCCGCCCATTCCAAGAGTTCCAATGATTGGCGGTCTCAGGAAACCGTTATTCGCGCACGGCGTTAACAACCTGTGAGCGCAGCAGAGATGGACCGCTTTGGTTTTCTTACATTTCGGTAGAGATAGCATCAAGACTGCACTCACATGGCGACAATCAAGTGCACAGCCCCTCAATATCCCCATCTCTCCGCAGGCGTCGTATTCAATGCTGCAGTGCTTGCTCAACCCGACCCAGCCGTAGTCAAGACAGCCCCTGAAAATCTATTATCCCTAGCTTATGCTATCTGACTAGCTGACGCGAGGCAACGTTCCACCGCAACCCCGAGGTCTCAGCTTCCCGATCCATCTGCTCTGGCAGGTCTCGCTCCACAAAGCGGAGAGTTGCGGCCCCGGTACCGAGAAGAAAGTTACCGCGCCAATCAATGAGAGTATCCTAGAGTCACGCGTCAAGGATGGGTTATGACCGGCGTAGGACCATCGGCCAGGGTGCACTGCCTATAAAGTGCTGGCTGTGCCAGACTTACTTACACCTGGTGAGGTGTTGCGTAACCGAGGCGCCCATCCCTTGACTCGGTTGACCAACTGGCCCCGGGGTGGCTGTTTCCAAAAATGGTGAGGCTCGGAAATCTTTGGCCACAGGCCATAGCCATTGTAGCAGGACTCCTTGGTGTTGCGAAGAGCGACAGCTTGCAAGATGTTGAGCACGTCGTGTTGTTCATGCAAGGTAAATTAGATCAACGCCTTCGACACATGAAGGGTGGCTAACCAAGCCTATTTGAAGAGAACCGAGCTTTCGACCACTACTTTGGCACCATGGCAGGTGTTCGCGGTTTCAATGACGCCAATCTCCAAATGAATGATGGCGTTCCTGTGTGGAAGCAGAAGACATCGCCAAAGCTCACCAATAACACAGATTACATTACGCCATGGTACTTGAATTATCTGGGAGGAAACTGGTCCGAGGCCACGCAGTGCATGATTGCAGGCAGCAATGGCTGGTACCACAATCATGCAGCTTGGAATGGCGGAAAAAACGACCACTGGGCTCTCAACAATACCCCGTACAGCATTGGGTACTACAAGAGAGACGATTTGCCCACGCAATGGGCGCTGGCTGAGAATTGGGTAGTCGGGGACATGTATCAGGTATGTGCAACAAACAAAAGGCCGGCCTGGGATTAGTCATCTAATGGAAGCTCGATTACCGTAGGAATCGGTAGTTGCGTCAACGAGCCCAAACCGCGTCATGTGGATGAGTGGCTCTATCAACGTCCCGGGTGGTAATCTGAGTCCAGATTTGGGAGGCAACCCTTACATTGACAACTACGAAACACCTGGATGTGACGACAACGGCATCAACTGCTACCCTCTGAAATGGAAGACGGCACCAGAGTATTATGAAGATGCAGGCACGAGCTGGCAAATATACCAAGATGGCACCGATGACTATGACAACTTTGACGACAACCCCCTTGCATGGTTCAAGCAATTCCAACATGCCAAAAGAGGTTCCAGCTTGAACACAAAGGGCATGGAGGGACGGAAGCTGCAGGAGTTCTACGACCGGGCGGCGAATGGAACTCTTCCAGAGGTGTCCATCATCATCGGGTATAGAGAGCTGGCGGAGCACCCTCCTTACTCGCCACACGATGGAGCCTGGTTGGAAAACAAGATTGCCGAAGCCGTCATCAAGTCCCCAAAATACAACCGGACGGCGCTCATCATCTCCTTTGACGAGACTGGCGGCTGGTTTGACCACGTGGACCCTTACAGATCGCCCAACGGAACAGCAGGCGAATGGTACAATGACAAAGCCGGCATTGGATACACGTTCACCGGGCCAGGATTCCGAGTCCCATTCTACATTATTTCCCCGTGGACGAGAAAAGGCGGCGTGTTCGTCGAGCATGCCGACCATACCTCTCAGCTGCAATTCATCGAGAAGTGGCAGGCAGCCAAGTGGCGCTTCGTTGAGTCCCGCGAGATGGTCCCCTGGCGCAGAGAAAACATGGGAGATTTGCTGGGCGCCTTTGACTTTGAGAACCCCGACTACAGCATTCCCGAGCTGCCGAAAGCCCCCGAGCCTCACAGGAACCGCCAGGGGAGATTTGACGGCGCATCACATTGTATGGGTCTGTACCCGGAACCGCGACCTCCTGTGCCGTATTCGGGAGACGGCACAACCAAGGACATGGCCAGCGTGGTTGAGCACGGTTTCAAGCCTATCCGCGGTAAGCTGACAGAAGGTCGCCACTTGGTCATCGAGATGGGCAACTACGCACTCGCAAGTGCCGACAAGTTGATAACTGGTAAAGCGGGCAACAAACATGATTCCAAGAACCAGCGATGGGTTGTGCATGCTGAAGAGCTTGGCGGGACCATGTTCAAGATGTCGAGCAGCGAAAGCGGGAAATACGTATGCGCTGATTTGGCGCTTTGCAGTGACAAGGGCAAAGCATTCGTTTTTGATATTCGCTTCAAACCCAGTCATGGATATAGATTCAAGATCAAAGATGGTAAGAATTTGGTGGCGAGTGACAAGGGAGAGTTGTCATTAAACAGCTCAAGTGCATATTGGACTATTTACAGCGTCAATTATTAGTTTTGCTGAAAGCACGAAAGGGACCCTTAAAACATCATTTGGAAACTAGCAACTGATTTTGTAAATAATTCATCAAAAAAGTACATGCTCAAATTTGTCAGTCTGGATGGATTCTAATGACAGATCCGGGAAGGGTGAGGTGAAGACTGGCTCCTTCTAGCATGTTCAACAGTCATATACTGTCTTGAGAAAACTGCTAGCAGTGGCCCGAGTATTGGTGATGGAAAGGATTTTGGCACACAGAATTTCCGTTAGTGAACGAGTGTGATGCCTTGAAGGTCAAATACGGCATAGATGGGACTAACAAGGCTGTGCAAGTGTTGAAACCCGAGTTTTGAGGCATGACAACCCTCAAGGTTGTCCATGACACCCCCCTTGTTGGTGACTTTTCGGCGGATGACTTGTGTCGGGCTCTCACGCTGATATATCACTGCCTTGCCCGCCGTGAAAGTACCAAACGCACCTGGATCACGCCCCGCTCCCAGGCCGTAATCATGTATGATAAGTGCCTTGGTTACTGGGACCCTTCACTGACATTCTTCGTGAGGCTGTCGAGAAGATCCCGCCCCCGGCTAGCTCCCTTAACGGGTCTGGCTACTTAAGTAGACTGGTGGCCCTTCCGATGATGTGTTCACTGACTCTCAGCAGCAGCAGCGCCGCCCTAGTTCCCCGGAGGTTAACCCCCAAGCCATTGACTTCTACGAAGGGGTGGTCCAGGTCCAGTCCTAGCTTTTTAACATACAGACACGCAAGGCCGTCAAGGATAAGGTGATCAATGACCTTAAAGGCATGCCTAAGAAGAATTAGGACGTCCTCTTCACCGCGCATAAGGTCCCCTTCTTAAAATAAACCGGATATTGACATGGTTAATGTGTAAAACCAGGTCAACCGCATGGCCTTATCCTTTAAGGGTTAACACTTGGATGAGGATGATTACCTGGCTTAGGTGAGCCGTAGGCCTTACTTTAAGAGCCTGACGGAAGGCTCTACTGACGCGGAGAAGGAGAAGGTACTGGACCTTTACCGGGTCCGGTATGTCATATCATCTAACATGTCGGCCGCGCGGCCCCCCTGGAACGTGGACGAAGGCTTCGTTCATGAACTCATCCTCTGTAACGCCAAGAGGAGGTCTAGCTGGCCATAAATGAGTATTGGCCAATAGGGCTCATTTCCACAAATTTTGTAACAATAGAAAAGATTTAACGGCTGCTACAGCGATTAAATTTCGTAAAGTCAGTTTGTGAGATGCATCATGAGATTTGATCCGTTGACACACTTCTATTAGCATATTTTCTGTCAACTTTGTAGTACATCTAGTGTTTTCTAATATGTGTCCTTATTCTCGCACTCTCTTTCTGTGATAATCGAAACTGTTTCCTTTTTACATCTGTGCATGTGCAATACAGGCTCAATAGCTATAATTGCATTGATAACAAGTCCCTTAAAAAGTCAAACGATAGGGCGACTCAAAGCATTTGCTACGATGGAGAAGAAGGCTGCCAATTATGCACCCCCCTCTGCTGCAATTAACGAAATAGGAAGCCTTTGAGAAGAGGATCACAAGACTTGTTCTTGCTGTTTTGATACACTATCCAGAGGAACCGGACATTATACCGAACGTGGTTTATAGAAATTCTGCTTCAAAGGTCAAGACACAGGGGCCAACTGATATTGGTAATGCAATTCGACAGGAGACAACACGACGGCCGGGAACTTTGCGTTTCCCGGATTTGGGTCAGGGGTTAGCGCTATTAAACATATCCTCACAAATCTGCACATGTTACGCTGCAATATGAAAGTTTCATTCAATTTTATGCGGAACCTCGCCTCCATTTCTAGTACCACATCCCTGTTCCGCCTTCCAGGCTATATATCTGCTCCCTCTGCGTCCACACAGGGGCACTTCCCTCACAGTCGGTATCAGTGCCCTGCAGTAAGAAACCAGATAAGTCACTAGCTGGTAGTCTGTGGTGTTCGGCGATTATTCCTTTCTTTGACCTTCTTCGATTAAGTCGCAATACGGTAACTTCCAACTTATGCTTGCCATTAATGCAAGCATACCCTTGCTGCATGTAGACTCCAAGTAAAGTGGACGGAAGTCTACGTCTTTCGCGCCTTGCCAACGCTTCATGAACAAGGCTGCTTGCGAACTCTGCAGGGAAAATGAGTTGATGTAAGATTTCCTATCCTCGAGCATAGCTAGGCTAGGGACGCGAGTAGCCGAGTCACCGGTCCACAAAACACAAGGCAGCCTGGCAGCTTGTATAATGGGAACCATTGTGGCAAAGCCCCAGTCAATGAGACTATTACTATATTAGCTTGGACTGTGAGAATATGGCTAGAGAAGCGTAATGGATATTCTCCTACCATTTAATATTATTCTCCTCGTCGACTATAATATTAGCTGGCTTAATATGGCGTCGCGAATGGGCTTCGATGGGGAGCTGTCATCCCATTTCAGAGGGAAGCCTTCGGCCCAATCAAGCACAAGGAATGGGTATCTTATCGGGTTGTCAAAGGTTAGGCTAGCGCCACGGTATCGAGGAGACCAAGAGAAGCCTTTTGCCTCAAGTGTCCGAAAAATGCGTGTTTCCATTTCAACATGACAAATGATAATTTCCTGGTTCCCTTGATTTGGATGCCGAACACGTAATGATAGGCTGGGATGGTCCTTGAAATTAATCTTGAAGATACGAGACTCTCCTCCTTGGAACTCTCCAGCCACAAAGGGGTCGCTTCCGCCTAGCTGGAGGTCAGAGAGCGCGGCGCAAATGGCCTCTGGGTCAAGAATTTGTCCTACATGAGAGCTCATGTTGAATATTTGGATGAGGGATGTAGGTAGGAAATATGTTGGAAAGGGAGAAAGTGTTTGAAGTTGCCAACACTATCCACGATATTGTTGGGTAAAGAGGCACGTGACAGGACTTTCACCGCGTTGGTCCGCCACATACCCGAAAACCGGTGCCACCGAACTTCCAAAGACCAAAAGGTTCTCGATGAGTATACAAATAAAGGCTCATATTGAAAAAAGGAGGCAAGATTTAATGTCCCCGTAAAGTGCTCACCTAAAACGATTGAAACTGTACTACTGTACTACGAAAGTTTGATATACTGCCAGGATAACACCTTTCCTCCATTTTCTCTCTGCTTCTCTCTCCCATTATCGAACTTGATGTCCAGAGCCACCGTCTCCATACACTCGGATATCTCGAGGTTCGGTAGGCCTATGGGATTTACTATAGATTTGGCTTTGAAAACGCATGTGTTATACTCATTGCAAAATTCTCAATTGATGTTACGTTTGTGGAAGGCAATTATATCACCGGGATCTATGGAAACTCCCGGGAGTATTACGAAAGCATTCGCGGTGGCTTGTGTATTCACGTACATGGTAAGTGGTTAGTTGTATTTAGAGCTTGAACGGCCCGAAGGTTACAAGAATCTCATCAATGATAAGCTTCTGCCCTATAACCAGTGTCACACGGTTACATGGGGGCTATGATCACGGAACATAGGGCAGAAGGCCCTCACCAATTTCTGGTAGATATAGAGACCTGCGGTCTTTCAAGGACTTGGAAAACCAAGGGCCTTTGACACCAAAAACTGTTATTGGATGAGGAGAGCTATTGATCCGAGCCCCCCTTGACCCCTCGTCAAAATCAGATTGAACCAAGTTATCCATACATAATCCTAGCCCAAATTTGGTGAGATGGACGTTAGCATCGCGTTCCGTACTTTTCAGTAAGTCTGATGAAGGTCGAGAAAGTACATCAGAAAGGCGTAAGTTTAGTCTGGCCTGAGGAAATAGAAATACTGGCGGATACAAGCTAAGCAACATGATGAGTCTATTGAAGAGCTGGAGGCGACCAGTTCAAATATAGACAGCAACGAGCAACTGCGATGACGAAATGCAACGTAATTTACATATAAAGCACCAGAGGAAACGAAATACTGATGTACTGCTCCAAACTCTTCACACTTGATAAGTTCCCGCAATACCTTCGTCTGTCGGCTTGAACATAACCGTGGTGAGTTTGTCCGTATTCCCCCATGTCTCGGCCTCCGTCATGATGGCAAATGTGGCTGTGGCGCCAACTCGGGTGACACCCAGAGACATGACATGTAGCAAATCATCAAGTGCCCGAACACCCCTAGCGGACATGACTTGAGCTTCGGGACTCTAGAACGGTCTCATGAGTTCAAGTGAGCTACCGTTGCACCCTTGTACGGCTACAGTCCGTTGGGTTCTACCGCAATCCCATAGCCTGTTGACGTTTTGATCAATGCAACGCCTATATCTGAGCGTATCCTGCATACTTTTATAATGTGATGATTCTGTAGGAAATCATTCTCGAAAATAACCTTGAATGCTGCGCCAGATTGCGTGACCACGGTGTTGTTCTTTGGGGTAACGTAGTCCCCATCCCCACTCAAAGCTTTGCCAACGTTGATGACCATGTCGGTTTCCTTGCCACCGGCTTCGACTGCGGCCTCGGCTTCAAATACTTTGACTTGGGTCGTGCTATTACCATGGGGGAATCCAATGAAAGAGAAAAAAAGAACGTCCGTGCCCTACAATTCTTTCTCCGTCATGGCCCATGGGTATCAAGTATGGCTTGACACAGGCAGAAGCCACGTTGAATTTTTTGGCAATCTGAAGACCGGCAAGAATGTCCTCATCCGTTATTGTCGGGTGGAGGAGGGAATGGTCATCATTTTGGCCAATTGCTGCCGAGTGACCGTAATGCTATTCATCTCGTTTGCCATTTTGCAAAAGCTTCAAAGATTATGCTTTACTTTTAACAATTGTTTACTCTAAAAGCGCGTCCTCTCTGCTTTGCAGTCAGTCATATCTATATACAAAATGGATGGAGTTGGTTTGGGCAAGTTGTTCCGCCGGAGCGAATTTCCGCTTTTGATTCCGGCTAATAAAATTCAACGGTCATGCTTTCTTAAGAATGCTAAAATGAACAACTAGGCTGGATATCCACTGGAGACTTCGGGCGTTCTACCTTTGCACCTGATTGCGGCGCCTGGCGACCTCGTGCTGTCCCCTCGCTGCTAAAATTCTCTATTTTGTCAGTCCCAGGTGAAATTGCAAGTGGTGACTGAGATTGATGTTTTGGCTTGTATGTGGCCTTGTGCTAAGTTATACACGACATTGTAAGCATACCAGTGATTGCTGCTCATCTTCCGCTCTTATACTGTTTCACGACTTGTATCAGTTCCTTTTTCTCCACCATCAACCTCAGCCTCTAGTTCTTTGGCCTGAGAATAGCCGATTTCCCTGTCATCAAGGGCATCGCCAACTTCCATCCAAGTGTCGCTGGTCTCAGGAATCGGAGACACTTTGCAAAGAGCCCAATACACAAGGGATGAGACGGCGAATCCACAAAAGAAGTTGAGGTTATATATATACGTGGCACCTTTAGGCACCTCTCGACCAACGGCTCCAGCAAACCCGACCACGTTAATGGCAATCCCGCAAATGTACGCTACATAGGCGCGCCAATGAATACCGTAATTATAATAGTATGGGCCAGTTTTGCTCGCGCTGTAGAGCTCGCGGGTGTTCAGGTAACCACGACGCACAAGATAGTAGTCTGCCGCCATGACGCCAGCAACTGAACAAAGAAACACGCTATAAGCCGACAGGTAGGTGGTGAAGCTGCTGGAACTGGATAGAAGGTTATATGGGCACATGGCGAGCGCCACTGCCGCGCAAATGTAGCTTCCTCGACGGATATTGATGAACTTTGGGAACAGGGCCGTCATGTCAGTGCCTGCAGCAACGGAGTTGGCGGCAATATTAGTTCCAAGTTGGGCGAGGGCAAAGCCTAGGGCAATAACGAAGACGCCAAATCGCTGGGCAGACCCGCCGCCTTCAATGAAGTGGCCTAGAAGATCAAGGGGGTTCCAAACTGCCTCTTGATAGATGAGCATGGATGAAGAGGAGACAATGATACCGATGAAGGAAGTCACGGCAAACCCAACCGGGATAGCCAGCAGCTGAGGGGATAGAGCGGCCCGAGGTTGGCGAGCAAAGCGAGAAAAATCGCTATTATTGATAATCAAGGCAGCAAAGTTTCCAATAGAGGACATGATTCCCTTGATGAACTCCCAGGCGAGATCACTACCAGAAATGGTGGCAGGTTGTCGAACAATCGGGCCAACACCACCGGCACGCACCACGGCCCAGATGAGAAATGCTATGCCGACCGGCGGTACCACAAAGGCTTTCACGGTAAAGAGGTGCCTGATTTTATGCACAGGAAACCAGAGTGCAGGCAGGGAACACAGCCAAAAGATGACGAACGAGACATAGTCGGGCGTGCTGGTCGCATCGGTGCCGAAAGGCCCTGGCATCTTGGTCCTGTCCCAGGATAGCCATATAGAGCGTATCATCAGATAGACGCAGGTGCCGCCAATGTACGCCTGAACGCCGTACCATATGCATGCTACAGAGACAGATTAGAATCAACATCCACGCAGTCAAGGGAGTGATGGGCAAGAGATGGCTCACCCATGGCAGCACGATTGAAAACGGGCCACATGCTGCCCCAGATACCGAACGGTGCGCGGTTCACAACGGAAAAGCCAATATGGTAGACGGCTCCGGTGCGCCCGATGAGGACGACGAAGCAGGCGGAGAAAAAGTAGCCGAGCCAGACGCACAGCCAGGCTTGCCACCACGACAAACCACCAACAATCATGGACGATGAAATCATCCAGGTATTGATGTTGAAGCAGTCGGCAATCCAAAACCCAACAAAGTTCCACGAGCCCCATTGTCGCCGCTCCTTCTCGACAGGTTTGAGATCATGGTTAATGAGCTACATGGACGGAACAATACAGAGTCTGCGTCAGTAAAAAGAGACGCCGAGGGGGGTTTAGAGAAAGAGGTTCTGGCGGTGTATCAGGCACATGGGTGGCCATACCATGAGCTGGGTCGCAGTGACGCCTGGCTCGGACGGGACTTCCAACTTCTTGATCCATCTACGCAGATGCGACTGTCTCTCCATTGAGGGTATATCGAGCACAGTGTTGTATATTTCTAGGAGGATTCGATGAATTGGCACCTAGCGCTGACGTCGCTGGCGGGGAGGCATAAATTTAGAGTAGAGCAACATGGGGGTGCACGCGACCTTGGGGGATAAATGGTTCGTATGAAGCCAGAAATGGCCCAAGGTAAGGGGGGCATGTGTTTACTGACCTCCCGAGGAGCCAGGAAGTGGACAGCCTTTTATTGACTCGTCATCGTGAGCGGGTTTTGAGATCAGCATTAGGCTTTCCGGGAACTGACTCGACAAACCAAGCTAGTCCCGAAATAAGGAGCAGCTCGGCGCTCCATAAATTCCTCAACCTCTCTGCCCCCTGATGTTGCCCTCGCTCGTAAAAAGGGAGGCGGGTGTGCGGCCCACGGTATTTGAAGACGAGGTGGCAGCAATACCACGGTCTCCGGAGCCAGCCTATTCCTTCCAGCAGAAAAGCCAACAAGAGTTTGCCGCCGCTACAACTGCATGATTTGAGAAAACAACCAAGGTGCCGCGGCTTCCTTTGGACATGATGCAGGGGGTGGCCAACAAAGGCAAAGTAAATTGGAGGACGCCAGCAAAAGCCTGTTTGGCTCCGGCCGGCTTCGGGGCCGGGAATGAACCGATTGCCCCACTTTCCCCCGCGATTTTGATCCCATTACTCGATCACATCGAGTCAGTCTGGGATAACAGAAAGATAAGGGAAAGCCGTTTCCACCACATCCCTCGGCTCTGCTTCTTGGCACGTGCACGGTATGTAACCGGAAAGACCCGATGTGGGCAAACTCTCCGCCGGAGATGGTCGTCACTGTCTTCTGCCTCTTGCCCTTGTGTCAGGAAAAGACATCCATAGAGAGATCCCTAACCGTAGTATATTGCGAGAGAACAGATGTTTATAGTCCCTTGGCACAGAATAGAGCCACAAACGGAATGGTGAAAGCACTAGATTGCCACACCATCATCCCTCCTAAACATGCCTCTAGTAGTTGCCGCAAAATAGAGCTGCGCTACGCCGGCTCTAACTCCATCGACGATGTAGAGTCTTGTGGCTTTTTCGTGTCCAAGTACTTTAGCCGCGACGGATTGGATGGTTTGTTCTAGTCCCGTCATGCCGCCACAGCCGAGCACAACACATTTGACGTCCCCCGACTCCAAGAGCCTTGTCACCGCTGTTGCCAACTTGCTTTGGATGACTTCTTCTGATGCGCGGTGGAATTCAATGGCTGAAAGTCCTGTTGAATACACACCAGCAAAATTATTATTGCCAACACCGCGCGCAACGCCCAGGAAGTCATTTACGCCGTCCCTGAGATGCTGTTCCCAGAATTCTCCAGTGGTCACAATCCCCCATTTTTCAGATTTGGAGATGAGAGAGAGAGCAGTCAGTATGCTCGCTTCAAATAACCCAATGATGGGCTTCCCCGTCAATGCTCCCAGCTTATGCACCAGGTCGTGCACGCTGAAACATGCAATCAACACGGCATCATATTGCTGCAAATTCGTTTGAGTTGCGAAAATATGGTCCATAACCGCCACCGTACTGCATGCAATGTCCTTGTCGTTGTTGATACTGATGGGTGCAGCCTCTGGGGCGGTGTAGGACACTACATTGATCGTCTGTAGGGCATTAGTTGAAAGCCTATCAATGTAATGTTCTATCTAAGAATACATACAGTCGTGGCCAGAGCACTCTTGGCTACCAGTTCCATGCTTTTTGTCATGGTAGCCGAGGAGTTTGGATTAAGCAGTAGGATCTTCATCGTGACAACTGCCAGTATTGAACCCAGAGCGAATAATGTGTTTATAGAAGAAGTGCATGAAAGGGCTACATCAGTGTTCATCCAGCATCTCGTGACACTATATACATGGCCATATAACAACTACTAGTGTGGTTCCGAGACTTGCCCGATCCCATAGAACACTGGGACAAGGGTATTATTCTCGCGTTGGTGACCTCGAATAAGAGGCTTCCAAGATTGCCAAGTGCCAAGCAGAATTACCGGACCATGGCTAGTTGCCCCCTTGCGTAAACGAATCCAATGCCAGCTACAAGAGCCAAGGCTAGCGTCGTTTCTGTGATTCCCTACCACTCCAATCCGGAGGGTTGTAGAAAGAATACAAGAAACGAAACTGATACGTCGCAATTTAAATAATAGTTACTTGATAACATCGAGTGATTGGCGCTGCGGGGGCTCCGATTACCGGCCGCGGATTCTGTGGGGAGAACCTACACTCCTGGTTAGCTTCCAAAGACACATTCGTTTTCAGCAAGGAATATGCCGAGTACGGAGTACTGTGCCATGATTCCTTGATTCCGAGGGCTTTGACAAGAAGAGGTGGTTGTCGGGGTCAACAACGACAGCTACGTGGAGAGAATCGCGGCACCACCTCTACTTTCTAAACGGTTTCGAAAATGGGACTTGTTCAATGTTCCTCCTGCACGCCTCCCATCGGCAACAAACGTCTCTCAAGCCCAAGTTTCATGTCTCCGGTCCTTTATCTTACCTTGATGCGCGATCGTTAATCCATGTCTTGGCCTTAGGCTGCTCATCAGCTCGTCCACCCCCTGGGTCTGTCAGAAGCATTTCCATCTCGCATCAACTCTGACTACGGTAGCGAAGACTGAGATTTACGCTCTCGGTAAGGTATTCAACGTACCTCATCACCGAAAATCACTGCGCAGGGCTCCATCAATCTGTCACAAAACGGAACTGTTCGCCCCTGCACAAGAGCATTACAAGGCTACACAATGACTTCTTCACGCGGTGCGGACTTGTCAGGCTCACCATGCAAACGAAAACGTCCTCGAAAAGACTCTCCAGAAGACTATCTTAACGAAGACGACACTAGAGACAGCAACGACACATCCCAGAGCGCGGCCGATGGTCGACTTGGCTCGATGGTTGCTGGTCAAAGCACCAATTTTCGCAACGTCAGTGCCTGTAGCAGATGCCGTTCTCGTAAGAACCGATGTGACCAAAGACTTCCACGCTGCACGAGCTGTGCGAAAGTCGGTGCAGCCTGTGTTGGGTATGATGTCTTGACGAAAAGGGAGCTACCCAGGAGGTGCGTTGCAGCAGTCCTCGCGTTGTGTCTCGCCCAAGTAAATTCCGCTTCGAGGGTTATTTCATATCCATCGCTGATGCACTCATTAGCTACATCTTCTATCTTGAGAATCGAGTAGAACAATTGGAGAAACTGCTTGTGTCGCATGGGATAGCTTTCCCACCTGCAGATGATCTGGCCATGTCTTCTCACAGGGATACGAATATTGACGAGCCAGACCCATCGTCACCAGGACGGCTTGGAACTCAAGACAAAGTTAACCGCATTCTCAGCACGGGAAGGAAATCTTTTACCTCTCCAGACAATAAAGGCAATTCGCCTAAAACCATCAGCCGAGACTCAATGGGCTCTGCTTTGCTCAACCCTCAGACTGCCGCCACCTTTATGGCCTTGGCACTTTATCCTACTCAAACGTTGACTCTTGACAACAGAAAGATACTCAAATATAACATTGGTGGTCATCAAGCTTTTGAGGCTACGCGTTGTACGACCACGTCGCTGCCAGACAGGTCCCTCGCACTAAAGTTGGTGAGGGCCTATTTTCACCGAGCTAATCCTCAGATTCCCATTCTGAAACGGGCGTGCTTCACCAAAATATTTGACAAAGCATATTCAGGCAAAGGACGGGGCTTAAAGCCTCGGGAGCAGTACCTACTTAACATGGTATTCGCCATCGGATGTAGCCACGGCTTTATTCACGAGCAAGACAAGGATAAGGCCATAGGCGCTCCAAGTGTCGGGTCAAATAAGTCTGAGTCTAATGTTTCCCCAGAGGAGTACTATTCACGAGCTTGCAGTTATTTTGACCAATGCATCATGCGAGAGAAGAGCTTGGAAGTCTTACAGGCTATCCTGCTTCTGGCCAGCTTTTCCCTTCTACGGCCCGTATCGCCAGGCGCTTGGTGAGCTGAAATATACCATTCAAGAAGATGAAACAAAACTGCTAACTAGCCCAAGGTACATTACCGGGATTGCAATGCGCATGGCAGTCGACCTGGGCCTCCACTATGATAACGACGACACACCAGACCGTGCTCCCAATACCACGGAGCATTCTCAGCTAGACCTTGCCAACAGAGATGAGCATGTAGAAACCGAGGAGACTACACAAACTGAGCTTCGCGAAGTAAGAAGACGGTTATGGTGGTGCACCTACAGCCTGGATCGACTTGTGAGCATAAGCGTCGGCCGGCCCTTTAGCATCAGCGACAATGATATATGCACCCCATTTCCATCCTTGGAGGAAGACGACATACCAATAACGAACGGAGAAAGTAATACTCTTACCGAATTTCAGGGCCAGAAACAAAGTTACAAATATCTTACGCATCATTTCATAAAGCTACGATTACTTCAGTCAGACATTTATGCAACTCGCCGAAATTGCCAGGAGCAAGCCTCAAACGTCGCAACTCGGCACCAAGTAATCGAGAAACCTAGTCCAAGATCAAAATCCCCTGTCCAGGTAGACTTTGACCCAGAGTCGCAATGGCTATGGTTAGAAAGCATGGAGAAACGAGCACTCGACTGGAAAGCATCGGCACCAACGTCTCATGTCACAGGCGTGGTTTTCCCCAAGGCGATTTTTGAGTTTTATTACTGGCAGACCATCATGCTCTTGTATCAGCACGATGCAAAGATTCCCGCTTTAATACAACAAGTCAAATCTGTCTTGTACAGCTTGCAGGTCTCCTCGGCGCCCATCCCCGAGGCAGATAAATTCACACAACGGAGATATGTAAAGATGGCTGAAGCCGCACAAAAGGTGTTGCGAATGTACCGACAGCGCCACCTCGCCGGCTGCATAAAGTACACGTACAGTTCTGCTCTTTATCTCTTTTCCGTCGCCATTTCTTATTTACACGCAGTGGCGCAATCATCTGCAGTGCGCGCTCGACTTGTAAGTCGTTTTTCCCACTAATCTTTCCACCAAAAAAAAGAAAAGAAAGGCCAAACAAAGCTAGAGCCGTTCTGACTGCTATCTTGGGTAGACTGCGGATGATGTGGACTTTACCATTCTAGCAGCAAAGTCTATTTTTGCGGACATGGTCGATACATGCCCTGATGCGAATGTGTGGATGGAGGCGTTGGAACTCACCGCAAAAGCAACCACTAGAATAACACGGTTATACGATGACCTTGGCCAGCAGTCTCAGCAGACAGACCGGAAAGAGGGCGACATCACGTTTACAGAGCGTAGCGTGACTTCTGCGGCATCGGGTTCATCTCCCAACGCCAAAGGTCGCGGGCCGGAAGACGAAGCACACATGTTGCAGACTCTGGGAGGATCCTCTTACTCCAGCCCGCGGGAAAACACAAAAGACGTAAGTGATGATTGGTATATAAGAGACAGTGCGCGTCTAACGTTCTCTACTCGATTTAGTGGGATTCCGCGGATGAGACTAGAGCCTTCCGTCTTGGGGGCGCAGACAATATTTCGGCTTGGGAAATGCCAGTGCCTCCATTCGGCTCCCTTGGGTCATCGCAGGCGATGTCTGAGATTCAGGGCAGAAGGGGTGATATTGTCTCTGATGATATTTTCGACCTGGAAACTATATGGCAGCTTGACAATCTTGCTGCAGAGGCTCCGCATATCTATCGAGTATTGAATTTTAGTGCATCAGCTGTTGAAACAGACTAGGGTTGAGCAACAGCAGCGTCCTGTGTATTTGGTTTTTTGAGCCATCGTCTTATACAATTATGTGACAGAGTCCATGTATATTCGTGATCAAGCACCAAACAAGTTACCAATGGCGTGGTGGGTGCTGCCAGACTTGGCGTCGGTCGAATGAGACTGAGCCCGTCATTCTTTGCTCGGAGAAGATGATTATCACGCCAAGAGCTGGGATCATGCAGTGGGTGTACGCTGGCGTGAGTCGAGTTGGAATCAGTCTGACTAGAACTTTTGGTATCAGCGGCAAAGGCATCTACGTGCGGAAAATCCTACAACCAGAATTCGGATCTTGCAGACTCATCGTGCATATCAATCGTTCTCGATGCGACGATAAAATTCTATACACTGACACAGTGCCTGGACTTTTAGAAAGTACAATTTCTGTTTGAACTCGACTTCATATATAGTCCTAAATTTCCAAATCAGCCACTAATCATGGAAATTCCCCTCGCTCTCCCGACTCCTCAACACAAATCATCATATCATCCTCACTATCATCGAACGCGCCGAGCTTCCTCTTCTAGCTGGCTCCCCCATTTCTAAGCCCAAAAAACACTCGATTCGTAGAATAATACTCCACGAGGACCCGTATTTTTAGCTTTTGGTCATCGTAATAGTCCCAATCTTGTCGCTTGTCAGCCTCCTCCGCTCCCTTGAATGTCAACTGGTCTTTTCGCCTCTCGGTTCATAATTACCCTCCATGTTAGCATCTTTCTGTACTAGCAACCAGACTTAACCACAGCCAAACGACCCTCACTATCGCACGTCGTAGCAGCCCCCCTTGGGGAAGTCTTGGCAAGCCCCAACAGTGCTGTGACATGAATGCTAGTCAAACGTGTAAACGACATTTTCGTTTGATACCCTTTGGCCATTTTTTGCCCAAGGTCATATATCACAACATTCGGGGGCAACATTTTCTTCAACATCACTTGACCCGAGGCATGCGTTTTGGCTCGGTTATCGAAAATCCCCGGTTCCAACTCTTCTTCCTCTGCGGCACGAGCATGGAGGCCCCAGTTGAATACCGCCTACTTACAGAACGGGTACCGCCGGAAAAGCTTTTCTGATAAATCAAAAAAAATCTTCTTCCCTCCTAAGGAAACTTGGTTCCTTCTCATAGTAATCTGTTCCTTCTCAAAGTCTTCCCTTAAAAGATAGGCAAGACAGATGTTTGCCATTATCTGATGTGCATTTTTAACGGCTAAATTGTTGGTCGTGGCATTGCAAACTTCATGGCCCGTCTCCACAAGACTTGGATTGTTCCGAGGCTTGATACAACACATATGGCTCACCAAGTACTGCCGTGTTGTTTCATGAACAAGGCGAATAGTGTTATATCTTTCGTCCACCCTCACTAAGCCCATCGGTCAAAAGCTTACAGATTCAGGCATATTTGCCAGACTGGTGAGAACAGGCGGCAAAGCCCATCACTCCAAACATATTCAACCAGCGGTAGAAACTTACGAGAGCCTAGAGCTTCGTTCGACGCGTGAGAAAGACTTATTGGCTTCAGGTGCTAAGGTCGGAAGCGTGAAAATGGTCTCGTCTGTGGCCGGCATGTTATTCCAGATGGTGTGAAGCTGGATGAAAAGTATTCAAACACCAACTTGCTGAGCCTGGACTCTTGTTTGCAGCTTATGATTGTGGCGATCTGGGCTGGGCGCGCCGACTCGACGAAATACGGAGCCGTTCCAGTCGAAGCCGACGAGGTGACGATATGGTGCCCAACTCCTGAGCAGCCATCGGATAAACGCGCAACAGCATTGCCTTGGATCGACGCCCGAGGTCTGCGTCCTTTCAACGCGTACAACCAGCTTCCTGCAAACAATGGCCAGGTCCTCATGGAAATCAACAGCATGCGATGTGTCGCGTATGAAGCAGCGATACCTCTGAGAACTGGAGAGCCTCCAAAAGCACAACCTTGTAGTCCTCTAACTCTACGGCAAGACATTGACTCCTTGTCTGGTACGCAGCCCTTTGATTCTGCTGAATACATAAGTTTGAGTCTGTTCAAGCGCCCGGATCAGAGAGTACTCTCCGTCGATGGCTTTTATGCGGAGCAAATACTTGCCAAACAGGAACGAGCAAATCTCACCTCAGCACCGATTCCAATGACGACACTGATGTTGTTGCTTCGCAGTATGCAGACAAAAACGTCCAGCTAGTCCCCTCTACGACGCAAGAGACAGGTTTGGGGGGAACGACGGGCGAAATTGATCTTGCAGTGACTCAAGCTTCGTCGCCCAGCCAGCTGGCAAGCATTTCTAACTTACTTTGAGAAGGTTGTCGAGCGGTAATAGAGCTTTCAAAGCCTTTTAATGTCTTTAATTACATAAGTACTCATCTCTTGGAACTGGGCGTTGCACTTCGGGGTGATGCCGAGATTCTGACCGTGATGCAGAAGATGGAGGTGACGGCGGAGCTCGAAAATGGCGTTATGAATGGTTACCACGATGATCCAATTCATCTCGTGTCCTATAGCGGGCCACCAGCTTTTATCAAAGAGTTGGACAAGGCGCTCGCCGCACAAGGATTTGACATTCGCAATTTGTGCATCATCAACATCTCGCCTAAAGACAATATCACTAGCGGGATCCTTGTAACTGGGTTTGCTAGTCTGTCTTTGGAATCTCTCACTGGAGAAGGATTCGAAGCCTTCAAGTATTTTCTAAACAACGTTTTGAATCTTGTTTGGGTATCGCCAGGTGGGTTAGTAGATCGACACAATCCGGAGTGCGCCACGGCCGCGGGGTTATTGCGCTCGCTCCGATCAGAGAAGACGTCTCTGAATGCTCCCTTTGTCGACTTTGACATGGAAACAATGACAGTGAAGAGCGCGGCTCGTTGTGCTGCTCAGCTAGCCGTGCGTCAAGCGAAGAAGGACAGTTGCCTCGAGTCAGAATACTACTTCTCGGCAGGGAAGCAATACATTAGCCGGCTGCTTCCCGACATAGAGAGCAACAACGTGTTCACCAAAGGGCAACAAATACTCAATACCTTTTCTTCGATCCTAGCTTACGACTTTCCGGCCCCATTCAGGCCGGAAAGGTGATTTTTGAACAAGAGAATGATACAGATGGCCCGGAACTCAAGCCAAAACAAGTCGAGGTTCAAGTACATGCTGGCGGACTAGACGAAGAATGCGTTCGAATCATCGCAGGCACAGAATTCAAGTCGAATTTCAACCACGAGATCGCTGGCGTGGTTACGAGCATTGGGAGCGCCGTCACAAAATTAAGCAAGGTGACCGCGTTCTCGGCTTCAGTGGCAATAAGTTTGCATCATTCCAAATCACTAACCAGCTGCTCATTCACAAGATACATGAAGAGGAGCAGGCAAGTCGCATGGCCAGTCTACCCAAGGCTTATGGCATGGCGGCCTACGGTTTAGAGACGCTTGCAAACTTGCAGCCAGCAGAAAAGATCGTGGTCCTACCCGGAACGGGTTTCCCTGGCGAGGCTACTGTTAACACCGCGAAAGCCCTGGGAGGAAAGCCCTATGTTGCCGTCCAAAGTGACTCAGAGATGCAACTTGCCATGAAACGCTTTAGTTTGAGTCAGATCAAGTACTAAATCCCAAACTCCATGCGAGATTGTGAATCTGGACAATCGGATATTATCTTCTCGGCTAGCACTGTTGACGATGTGGTTGCAAAAGAAGCGTGGAGGCTTTTGCCCCCGTTCGGACGCAGAATATCACACAGCTTAATAACTGCGTTGCTGCATTTTCCTCTGGCTTAGACAGTCCCAAAGTCATCATTGAGCACAAAGCATCAAAAGAAACCATTGTGCCGCCATCTCAACCCGGAAATCGTCTGCAAGAGAACGCGACATACTTGCTCGTTAGCTGTCTTGGGGGTTTCGGCCGTCTTGGATGCTGGAGAGAGGTGCTCAGAATCTGACATATTGTCGCGATCAGGGACAGACTCTGCGCAGACAAAGCTGCTTTTGGACGAGATGCTTGTGGACGAGATGACGGCCAGGCGAGCAAATGTGCAGGTAATTCGAGGCGATGCAAGTGTGCAGGAGGACGTGGAGAGGGCATTGCAAAGCGTGCCGCCAAATCGACCTCTTAAGGGTGTGATTAATGCTGCCATGGTTTTGAGAGTAAGTTGGCCTTTTGTTTGTTTTTTTTTTTCCTTACACGTAGTTTGAAAACACTATTAGTACTATAATACTTACTAACAGCTAAACTCTAAACTCGGGACGGGTTCTTTTACGGCATGTCGTACGAAAACTGGGAAACATCTATAACATGTCATTGGCCAGACGTGAGCCTCCCCCGCTCTGGCCGGAATGTGGATTCCGCAAAAGCGGGTCAACTCGAGGTATCCCGAACTGTTTATTTAAACATGGATGGTTTTCTTGTGCCTGCTTGTTTTCCGATTTTCTACAAGTGGGGGTGAGTTTCTGTGTAAGAAAACCAATAAGTATGTGCAAGAATTGAAATCTGCTCTCAATTTCTCATTGAGGCTGTTGGCGCTGTTGTGGATGCCGATGGCGAATGAAGAGCACGTGAATTGCTGCGGAGTTCTAAGTATAGACGTGAATCAGCATTCAGAAAGGTCACCGACGGGAGAAGATTGTCTTCAGCTCGCACAGCCTTTCTTCTTCTATAATTCAGAATACCCGGTAAATTATCAAGTCTTCTTGCTCAATAAACAGAGGAAGCCTTACCCGACAGTAATGCCGGAGCTATATCTTAAGTAATTCTGTGATGTTCATGTTCTTATTTGTTTATTGTTGCGTCACTTAAAAAATTGTTGCGTAATTTGAAGAATTGTCGACGTTCTTATAAAATCCAGTCCGAACTTCGGGCCGTTCGCCAGCGTCCCGTATCCTGCAACCTAAGATTCTGTGACCGATCATCATCTGACGAAGTCTCGGCAAGCACGATTGTGGCGCTATTATACTCCGGAACTGACGGATTTTATAAATCAGCCAAGATTACCCTTACCATGTGGAATCCCATGTGAAATGAGTTTCAAACCACAGGACAATATTGCCACAGGAAAATTCGTCGTAAGAATCGCAGGATGCCGTAGGGGTCCATTTCGCAAATTCAGTTTCAGCTAGGTAGCAAGTCCCGTGGAAATGGCGCTTCAAGCCAATCCCAATTCTGTTCCGATGTATTAGTGCTTCCATCCTGAAGCGGTATTCCCTCTGTCGCTGTTGAAAACTCCCCCAAACTTGGGTCGCCCATTGTCGCTAATAGCCACAACGGCAGGCTCATTGCGTCTGCTAATTGTGCAGCCCACACCCCGTCGGCGGGCTGCATCAAATTGGTCACTTGGCTTGCTTCAGAAGTGGGATACAGACCCCCGTTTTGGTGGTCAGTCAAAGCATCAGAAGTTGTGACCTCTTGTTGCTGACCTGCAGAATAACCTGCATCATCTTTAACATGCTGCAAAGATATTTCCGCGCAGGCGTCCATGCAACCGAAAGCTCTTCCAATGTCTAAAGGCAGGATTTGATCCGTGCATTATCGAATGGATTAAATCGAGTCCTGGGTTGGTTTGGACCTTGAGGGTTGAACAGAGCCAACGCCGCAGAGAGGTTGGCATGCGTTGCCGTAATCAGGCTTTTCCGAAAGCCACCCAAGGCTTTGCGATATTGATCCCCCAGAGACGATATGCTTCTTGCAGCTTCGACCAGAATTTCTTGGGCCTTGTCAACTAGAGTATCATGCTCTGAGCTCGTGGAATCATACCTGGCCGCTTCAGGTCGAAATAGAGAAGAATCTTGGCCGTCTTAAGAAATATACGACCAGCTGTATTGGGGTCATTAGGATTAGAGCGAACCTCTACACGATCTGAGAAGCGGGAACCACTGGCAAGTATGCAGTTCAACAGCAGAGGTGTAAAGTATCGCCCATTGTTCTCTCTGCTTTCGCGAAACAAGGCCTTATTAATAACTCGTAGCCATGGCCGTTCCCGGGTAAAATACTGCTCTAGGAGGTGCGCTTCAAGCTCTCCAGTGACGCTTCTTTGCTCACCCAACATCTGGGCCGAAGAGTCCGCAGATGGCGGCAAAGACTCCATGGGCAAGTCCCGAGGCACGTCTTGGGGCAGAATTAGTGATGTCTATAAAGTGATTAGGATAGTCAAAACAAGATCCTACCATGGAGCGGCTTGAAGCCACGTCTACCACTGGCCTGGCCGAAATAACGTGCCTCTCCGTCCTGGTCAAAGTTTTGCGGCTTATCAAGGGCCAGAGTGTTCTCAAACGTATCACAGAGTCCGTCCAGGGCAGCAGTTGAGCCACCGTTAAAGAGGTTATGGTAGCCGGCACAAGATTTTGCTGCATCAGCTGAGCAGTAGAAGCGTGGACATTGATAGAATACAGCCACAAGACCTTTTCCAGGAGAGCGATCCGACCCTGCAGGAGGCGCAGGCGCACATGCGACTTTTGGGCGATTCCACGGCCTTCATCGTCGGTGTTGTAGACACATGGTATTTGGCGAGTATTGCATCGAGAGCAAGTTGGCTTTGTGCCGTCACACTGGGTTCCAGCTAGGTAAATTCCTCATACACATTCCGGTACAGCAAGGCGGGTGAAGGGATGAACACCAAGCCCACCTTTACACGACGCCGGCGGCACTCGAGACAGGCCCTGGGCACATACTTGCTCCGTAGCGCAACCTTGCCGGGGCCGGGTGATGAATTCTGCTCAGTGTTGGATGAAGGTGTTTCCGAGCTGGCGCCTTGGGTAGTAGGCGCCGGAGACGCCGCACCGGCCATGTTGACGTGGTGGATGTAAGGCGGGTTGCGATCAAGCCAAAGAACGAAGCATCGAGGTATCCTCACAAATGTTGCGATGACTTTCCGCGTGCGCTTTGACTATGCTTCTGGCATCCATGATCCTCGTCCCACCGCGGGGTGGCCGATGCAGCCGGCCCATCCGTAATCTGTTGTTCCTATGCAATCGTGGACCTGCTATTCAAAGCATAGGGTAAATAAATTCCAACCAAGGGTCTGGAAGATTTCCGCCAGGGTTAGGGTTTGTCGTTGGTAAAATACGCAAAAGACTAGCGTAACAAGGACAATAACATGTTACGTGGGATCACGGTATGCGGGGTTAATTAGATATTCAAATCCTTTAATTTTAAAGCAGTTAAATTAGGAGTTTAGGAGTCCCAGAGACGAAATCGGTTCTGGAGTCATTATGCTGCTGGAGTATGCTTTCTAACTGCTTATAAAGCTTTGGTGATGACGAGTCCAGAGTTTACTTATCCCTGTCTACATGACTCGATCCGTCACCACAATGCCATGCATCGTCTGTATGTACATGATATATAAAGTCTGGTATATTAGCAGGGTACCCTTGTTATTATCGCCAGTGGAACCAAAGCATTATTGTTCAGAACCTCGGTTGCTGCATAGCAGACTGACCGGTCCCTCATATATGACTAGAGTCTTATTGTCTGAGTCATGAACTAGTAAAGTCTACGTCCTGGAGACTATTTCTCGGAAGAGACCCGTCAGCCTGATCCCGCAGCAGTACACGGGTCCTTGGACGTTTGAAGTAAATAATAGCGGCAGCATATAGAAATCCATGCATGCATTGACCTGACATGTTTCAGCATTGGCTGCATTCTGGGTAGGAAATTCATTGACATGTGGAAAATGCGGCATGAATTCGAGCTGCTGCACTATCGGTTTTGCTAAACCCATGCATAAATCGATGGATAGCATTCGGCGACGTACCCAGTTGTAGAAGCAGTCTGGTAGTTACCCACCAGTTGACGCTCCTTTGCTGACTTGGCGCATAACATAGGAAGTCGCTTGATGGTGATCAACATTGAAATTCCAGAGCCAGTGTGGCCACGGGGCACCAGACACTCTATGAGCTGTGCGTAATGGCGCATTAGGCACGGGTGCCGCACAAGAGATGAGAGGCTCAAAATAGAGACTCCCCTCCAAGGTCCGAGGAATGCAAATATCATTACGAGTCATGATGATCTCAGGGTTTTATATGGACGTGTACCTCATCACGGCGTCAGGTCGTGCATTAATTATCTTGGAAACTTCACCATACATTTAAACATTCCTGCCATGATGGAAAAATATACAAAGCCATAACAACCCATCTCTTCACCCTGTTGAGAAATCGCTCGCAATACTATTGCATTCTTACAATCCATACAATGTTGTCCTTCAAAGTGACGCTCACAGCTGCGGCCACAATTATGGCCTTTCAAACTGCAGTTGCAGCGCCCATCACCGGCGGAGAAGATGCCTTTTGGGGAGAATTTATAAGAGCTAAAAGTATCTTTTATACTCTTAGCTTTTATAAATAAATATTATTAAATACCTTAAGGCTTAATAAAATCTTATTTAAGTAACGTAATCTTACACGTTATATTAAGGTAATATTAATTAAGTTTACTTTAGCCTTAGTATTTAAGGTTACTTTAATAAGTATTAATTTTTATTCTTAAATTATAGCTTATATTATAAGACTAGCTTTTACTTAAATATAATTTTTATTAATTATAAATTAGGTATTATTTATAATTAATTCTCTTTTTTTATAATATTCTTCT